TATCCATCCATCTTTCCTATCCATCCATCCATCCATCCTTCCATCTATCTATCTATCTTTCCATCTTTCCTATCTTTCCTATCCATCCATCTATCCTTCCATCTATCTATCTATCTTTCCATCTTTCCATCCATCCATCCATCCATCTTTTCTATCTATCTATCCAACCATCTATCTGGCCTCCCCTTTGGTGGATCAGATCTGAGTAATACTGGAACCCAATTCTGACAGGTTACATTTGCTGAGCCTCTGACTGGATATATAGAAACGACACTGTATTTTACCTGATGTAGTTTAAACTGTTTTTAATTACTCTGTATATTATATTTGACGGAACCCGCCCTGAGCCCGTTATGAAGGGACGACGGGATACAAATCCAATGGAATAAAACAGAACAAGCTAGTGTTCTCTATGCAGAGAGGTTCCCCCTTTTTGAAATGCAAAGCTGGGGTGGAGCCGTCCAAAGATTATTTATTCTGCCTCCAAGAAATGGGGTGTGTGTGTGTTTACTATCGAGTGACTCGGACAGCCCAGGCTAGCCTGACCTCATCCGATCTCGGGAGGTCAACGGGGTGAGCCCTGGTTAGGACTTGGATGGGAGATCATCAGGGGAGTCCAGGGTTGCTACCAACGCTCCCTCTAACCTGTGGAGTCTTGTGAGCAAAAATTCTACCTTGTGAGCTACTGGCATTAAAGTTGTGAGTGAGCAATTTGGCTGCTGCATCAGTTAGTTTGCTCTGGAGCCCTCCTTCCTGAGCTAAGACAAAAATATGTGAGCCGGAGGCTAAAAAACTGTGAGCTAGCTCACACTAACTCAGCTTAGAGGGAACACTGGTTGCTACGCAGAGGCAGGCAAGGGCAGACCACCTCTGTATGTCTTTTGCCCTGACCGGGATGGCCCAGGCTAGGCCAGCCTCATCCGATCTCGGAAGCTAAGCAGGGTCGGCCCTGGTTTGTACTTGGATGGGAGGCCACCGAGGAAGTCCGGGGTCGCTACGCAGAGGCAGGCAAGGGCCAACCACCTCTGTTTGGATTTTGCCTTGCAGATTCTGGGGGCAGCTAGCTTCGAGTCCCCAGAAGCGGACCAAAAAAAGATTTCCGGGGTATGAACTTCCGAGAGCCACAGTTTGCTTCATCTCTGACACACCCCTCCCACCTTCAGACTAGGATAGAAGGATTCAGGGATTTCCATTCCTCCTTGTATGGGACGAAGACAGCTTTGACTCACAAAAGCTCATGCCTCCAAAATCTTGTTGGTCTCCAAGGGGCTACTGGACTTGCATCTGCCTGCTCGACTGAAGACCAACTCGGCCACCCTCTGAAACCAAAAACGGAGTTGCTATGCAGAGGCAGGCAATGGCAGACTATCCCAAGTCGTCTCTTGCCTTGAAAACCCTGAGTCCATGAGTCAGCTGTGACCTGATGGTAATATATCCTTCTATATTTTTGGAAGAGGAGGAGGAGGAGGAGGAGATTGGATTTATACCCCACCCTTCACTACCAGGAGTCTCAGAGCGGCTTACAAACTCCTTTCCCTTCCCCTCCCCACAACAGACGCCCTGTGAGGTAGTCAAGGCTGAGAGAGCTCTCCTGAGGACTGCTCTTGAAAGAACAGCTCTGAGAGAACTTGTGACTGACCCAAGGTCACCCCAGCAGCTGCATGGCCAGGAGTGGGGAACCAAACCCAGTTGTCCCAGATTGGAGTCCGCGCTCCTAACCACGACACCAAACTGGCTCTCTGAGGGCAGAAGGAAGGAAACTAACAGTGTCAGTGGAGCTCTTCCCATATTATTTGTGAAAACAGAAAAAGGGAGCAGGCACAGAAGCGAGCAAAAACTTTACAACAGTGATCCTTGTCTAGATTTATCCCAAACATTTTACTCAAAAGGCGCGCATATATAGATAACTCTGCCTGGCTCCCCTTTGTTTTCCAGCTCTTCAGCCTATGAACTACGAGCCATTGCTCTTGAACCGTGAGGGCTTGAAGCCCATACTCTTTAAAGACACCTTTATTGAGAAGGTATAAAGCTGAAGTCGCGCAGCGCCCCACTGCTGGACCTCCTGATGACATCTGGTATTTTTGGACACACACGACCCAATCAGTTAAACAAGTATAAAGCCAACAGTCGTGATAGTCTGACCCAAAATCAAACAGTCATAAGACTTATAAAGAATGCTGTTTATGTATTGCAGTCTAAAGCACCACATGATACACAACTCAACAGAAAATCCTTAATCACATAATCAACGTCGACTCCGGATTACATAACGTTTCAAAAAAATGGATCTTCTTCAGGAGATATTATAATGGTGCCAAAGCTCTCAGTTTCATAAATGTTAGACAACAAGTCTTAAGAATATTAAATTCAGATAGGACACTGATCTCAATTAACATTCAAGCTCAAAATATGCTGCTATGTTTCTACTGGATCCCGGGTCAGACTATCACGACTATTGGCTTTATACTTGTTTACCTGGTATTTTTGGCCACGGTGTGACAGAGTGTTGGACTAGATGGGCCATTGGCCTGATCCAACGTTGGCTTCTCTTATGTTCTTATGTTCTAGCGGGCTCCTGTATCAATTGCAGAAGTCACAGAACAATGTCACCCGCCGGCACGGCAGGGGTTTCCTTGGCAGGCGTGCAGAAAAAGAGGGCCCTCTTCTAAGCCAAATCAAGCCTGAGCTAGAAGCTAAAATGCCTAAACTGAGGCTACGTAGTTTGGTCACGTGATGAGAAGACAAGAGTCACTGGAGAAGACAACGATGCTAGGAGAGGCGGAAGGCAACAGGAAAAGAGGAAGGCCCAACGGGAGATCGACCGACTCCATGAAGTAAGCCTTCGGTCTGCAAGCCCTGAGCGAGGCTCTCGATGAGAAGTCGATTTGGGTGTCATTAATTTGGGGAGGTATTTGTGAATGTCCTGCATTTGTGCAGGCGGTTGGACTAGATGACCCCGGAGGACCCTTCCAACTCTATGATTCTAATTCATAGGGCTGCTGGGAGTTGGAAGCAACTTGACTGCCCTTAACGCACACACCTGATGGATTCCCCCCTCCACTGGCCTGGTACGAAGCAGAGACTGCTGGCAGAAAATGAGTTAGTTCAAGGGGGGTGGGGGGAGAAATGCCCTCTCCTTTCCCCCTTGAACTGATTCACCTTCTGTCAAAGAGTTTTGTTGTTGTTTTGCTCTCAAGTTGCAGCTGACTTATGGCGACCCCCCGTAGGGTTTTCAAGGCAAGAGACGTTCAGGTGCCGTTTGCCACTGCCTGCCTCCACGCCACGACGCTGGTATTCCTCGGTGGTCTCCCATCCAAATACCAGCCGGGGCCGACCCTGCGTAGCTTCAGAGATCTGATGAGGTTGGGCTCGCCTGGGCCGTCCAGGTCAGGAGCGGTCACGCTTAGTACGTTCTAAAGAAAATACAAACAGACCGAATCTTGCAACCGCAGACAACGTAACTGCGATTGTGTTAACACTGTGGGCACATCCTGGCACACTGCTCAGCCAACGGTGGCACGGCCACTGATATTTCATGTGCTAAAGGACCATGTTGCCATCTGCTGCGCAGCAGGGCAAAGCACATTTAACTTTGCGACAGCAACTGAGGGGCACGACCGGGCATCTTCCAGGGTTTCCTCTAAGCTGAGTCAGTGTGAGCTAGCTCACAGTGTTTTAGCCTCCGGCTCACAGATTTCTGTCTTAGCTCAGGAAGGATGGCTCCAGAGCAAACTAATTCATGCAGCGGCCAAATCGCTCGTTCGAAACTTTAATGCCAGTAGCTCGCAAAGTAGAATTTTTGCTCACAGGACTCCTCAGTTTAGAGGGAGCACTGGTTCCCACCCTTCCTTTATCAATGTTCTGATCAACTGAACGGCCAGAAGAAACCGCACCTGGCAAAGGAGACGTGGCGCCAGGCTAGTGTGAAGCAGAAAAATGTGCCTCTCACAAATGAAGCTGCCTTATCCTGAATCAGACCGCTGGTCCATCTCTGCCAGTGTTTTCTACTCTGACTGGCAGCAGCTCTCCAGGGTCTCAGGCAGAGGTCTTTCCCGTCACCCACTACCTGATCCTTTACAACTGGAGTTGCCGGGGATTGAACCCGGGACTTTCTGCATGCCAGGCAGGGGCTCTTCCACTGAGCCACAGCCCCTCCCCATGGCTCTACAGGGTCTCAGGCAGAGGTCTTTCACCTTACCTACTGCCTGGTCCTTTTTAACCAGAGATGCAGGGGACTGAACCTGGGACCTTCTGCGTGGAAAACAGAGGGACTTCCACTGAGCCATAGCCCCTATTCAGACTGGCTCTTCAGGGTCTCAGGCGGAGGTCTTTCACGTCACCTACCGCCTGGTCCTTTTTTAACTGGAGATGCCGGGGATTGAACCTGGGACCTTCTGCGTGCCGAGCAGAGGCTCTCCCACTGAGCCTCGGCCCCTCCTCTCTGCATCGGAGAGCTTTAAACCGCGGCTCAACTGCAAGCCTAGCGAGGTGGGGCCAGGACTAAGAGGCAGCGACCCACAAAGCAACACCCCCAGCAACCCCATACGCAGCACCCGGAGGAAGAGAAGACAGACCCGGCGGCCTCCGTTACCTGCGTGTTGGACTTGCGGCGTTTCTTCTCGGGACTCTTCATTTGAAGGCCTGGTTTCGGCGAGGGGGAAAAGCAAGAGGAAAGGGGAAAAGAAAGCATGAGTGTCTTGGCGCCCCAACACCAGAGACAGCCTCCAAGGAGCCGAAGAGCACCGTGGGCGGCCATGCTAAGAAGCCCAAATGAACAACTGGCTCATTATAAAAATAAATGAATAAATAAATAAATTGCTATTATTATTATATTATATAAATACAATTATTTATAATTGTATTCATGAATCGTCCAATCTCTACCACTGCGGGGCTCTGGGCGATGTACAGCATTCATAAAACAGAAACAAGATAAAACCAATGGAAATATTAATAAAACATTCCGACAAGAAGATGGTGAATAAACAGTCCCAATTCTGGCTATTGGGAAGAGGAAGAGCCCTACGAGGAAAGGCTGAGGGCCCTGGGAATGTTGAGTTTGGAGAAGAGGAGATTGAGGGGGGACGTGATGGCTCTCTTGAAATATTTGAAGGGCTGTCATTTGGGGGAGGGCAAGGAGCTGTTCCAGTCGGCAGCAGAGGAGAGGACCCAAAGCAACGGGTTTAAGTTACATGCAGAAAAGTATCGGCTGAATATTAGGAAAAACTTTTTCACGGTCAGAGTGGTTCAGAGGTGGAATCAGCTCCCTAGGGAGGTGGCGAGCTCCCCTTGACTGACACATTTCAAGAAGAGGCTGGACGGATATTTGTCAGAGATGCTTTAGGCTGGTCCTGCACAGGGCAGGGGGTTGGACTAGATGGTCTGTATGGCAATGCTCCCTCTAAGCTGTGAAGTGTTGTGAGCAAAAATTCTACTTTGGGAGCTACCGGCATTAAAGTTGTGAGCGAGCGATTTGGCTGCTGCATAGATTAGTGTGCTCTGGAGCCCTCCTTCCTGAGCTAAGACAAAAAAGTGTGAGCCGGAGGCTAAAAAACTGTGAGCTAGCTCGCACTAACTCAGCTTAGAGGGAACACTGCTATATGGCCCCTTCCAACTCTATGATTCTATGTTTCTAAAGTAGATGTAAATAAGAGGGGCGGGTGCCAGCCGTCACTGCACTCAACCAAAAACCTGGCAGGGCCCTGATGGTGTTCGGCAGAGAGTTCCACCCGGTCGGGGCCAGTACCGAAAAGGCCCTGGTCCTGGTTGAGGACAGCTGGACATCTTTGGGGCCGAGGACCACCAGCAGATAACACCAGTCAGCTGACCAAATGTCATCCACTGACCAAATGCTGACCACAGCCAAGTATTCCTGGAAGCAAGGAACGCCTCTTTGGCAACTTCTGTTTCACAACAGGCTGCACTTTGGGCTAGCTGCAGGGCATGAATGAGGGGCTGCTTGCCCCACCCCAGCAGCTGAGGACACACCTAGCAGCACAAGAAGGCCCCTCCTCCTGGCCCCCTCCTTGAGAGCAGGAACACAAAGAGGGAGGCATGACAGACTGCCTAAGAACACCCTTATCGAGATACTCAATTGTGATTTCATCAGGATGGTTTCAGAGGTTGACTCTGTTTCGGGCGAAGGGTTAACTAAACAAGAGCCAGCCTTGTGGAGGAGGGCGTCGAAGCACAGCCACTTCAAATCCCTGCTAGCCACCAAAAAAAGACCAGTGGTCGCTTTAGAATGGGTGAACAGGACGTTTGTCTCTTCTTAAGAAGAAGAAGAGAAGAAGAGATTGGATTTATACCCCGCCCTTCACTTGGTCTCAGAGCAGTTTACAAACTCCTTTCCCTTCCCCTCCCCACAACAGAGACCCTGTGAGGTGGGTGGGACTGAGAGAACTCTGACACAAACTGCTTAAGAGTTTGGGGCTGGCCCGAGAGGCAGCAACTGCTGCCAGGCAAGCTTTGCAGCCAGGTGGGGTTTTGAATATGAGAGCACAAGAAGGAGCTGGCTGGATGACATCAGCTGTCCGTCTAGTAAAGCGCCCTGCTTCACACAGAGAATGACAAGTAACCTTGAAAAAGGTGTAAGAGTCCCGTAACACCTTAAAGACGCGCAAAACACACGGCAGAGTGCAAGCTTTCACGAGTCACTGCTCACTTCTTCAGCGATCTGAAGATGTGGCAGGGTAGGCGCCTTTCGTGTGTCACTGCTCACCGAAGACTCACGGAAGCTCCTACCCTGCCACAAATCTGTTTCGTCTTGAAGGTGCTGCTGGACTCTCGCTCTTTTCTGCTGCTACAGACAGACTCACACGGCTTCCCATCCGAAGAAGTGAGCCGTGACTCACGAAAGCACATCCCCTGCCACAGATCTGGTTAGTCTTTAAGGTGCTCCTGGTCTCTCAGTCTTTTCTGCTGCTACAGACAGACTCACACAGCTACCCGTCTCGATCAGTAGTCCCAAAGAGCCAACAAACAGGGCATAGAGACGCAGGTCTTCCCGTGATGTTGCCTCCTAGCACTGGGATTCAGAGGCTGACTGTCTCTGGAGATGGAGCAGCTCGATTCGAGCCCAGCAGCACCTCAGTGACCCACAAGATTTTTGGGGGGCGTTCGCTTTCCGGAGTCAAAGCTCCCTCTGACAGATGCCCAAGGGGGGGATCCAACGCTCAACTTTTCAAGCCTCACAGCAAAGGAAGCCTCTGTGCGGAAACTGCCACCAGAAGGAGCGTGGACTCTGGACAGCTCCGACCCTCCTTGTTGGCCTCGGAGGAGCCTACTGGACTTCAAGCCAGCTCTTTTCCACCGCAGGCCCAACACGGCTCCCCTCCGAAACCGGCCTCCTAGAGATGGGAGTCTCTCTTCCCTGTCTGACACCCCCCCCCCCCGGAGACAGTGAAACTCGGAATA